ATTCTACAGTTGGAAATGGTAAAGTTTAACGAAAAAAAATCTTTTTTTAAAAGATAAAATATGAATAATAAAGAAGTTTAAGACTTTGTTTGTAGTTGAGAAAAGGTGATAAAAATGTAGAAACTGATCAAAGCTGAAAATGCAGTGATCATACTTAACTAACAGCTGTAACCCCGACAGTCTCAACCATAATTATTTATATATATATATATATATATATATATGTGTGTGTGTGTGTGTGTGTGTGTGTGTGTGTGTGCATTAACAAGGCGTTAATATACATCAATAAATGTTTATAAATCAATATATATACATACATATATACGTATATATACACACACACACATACACACACACACATATATATAATATATATATAAATATATATATATATACATATATATATATATATATATATGTGTGTGTGTGTGTGTTTATTAACTAGGCGTTAATATACATCAATAAATGTCTATTAATCAATATACGTACATATATATATATATATACATACATACATACGTATATATCTTATATATATATAGTTAGTAATGAGTTGTTGAAAGATTTAAAATATTTTAATAAGGACATTTTCAATTTTGAGACCTCAGACGATAACATTTGTAGCAAGAATAACAATATAAAGAAGGACATCAACATTTTTGAGGCCAACGACAACTGCAAAAACTACAACTGCAAAAACGCCAACGACAGCTACAAAAACGCCAACGACAGCTACAAAAACGCCAACAACAGCTGCAAAAACGTCAAAGTCAGTGATGCGACTGATGAAAATCGTGAGAGCATCAGTCATCCTGACCGTCATCATTGTGACTTTTTCCATTTTTGCCTCCATGATGTTTCTGGAATTTAAAAGTTGGGAGTTAGAAAGATACAAAATGACCTTTGAAAGGAAATGTTCAATTGAAAGTGACAAAAATAATAAGAGAAGAAGGTTTGAATTGGAAAATGAAGCCGCTAAAAACAAATTTTCTAAATTGTCATCGTCACCAGCATCATCAACGTCATCATTATTATCATTAACAACGTCGGAATATTTATTACAATGGTCAACATATGTGCCATCATCATCGTTGTCGTCATCGTCATCATCATCTTCACCATCATCTTCACCATCATCTTCACCATCATCTTCACCATCATCTTCACCATCATCTTCACTATCATCATTAACAACGTTATCATCAACAAAACCATCAGCGCAGTTTATATCCTCATTGCTGTTACTCCCATCACCACCACCACCACCACCATCATCATCGTCGTCGTCCTCGTCACCTCCAAAAAACTATTTTCCATCTCCCAAATTTGTCACTTATCGCAACAAGTACTGGCAGGTTCAAAAATATGACGACAGCGACAACAGCCACAAGGTCAGTTACGGTGACGACTACATCGACAGTGGCGACAGTAGTAGCGGCAAAAACAACAACAACAACAACAACAACAATACCAACAACAACAAAGACGAGAAAACCCTCGATGAAATAGTAGCCTACACCAGCTTTTATGACGACAGAAACCACGTGATGCAGAAGAGTGGAAGCAGTTGGGTGCGTGTGTTAGCTGTAAGAAGGGTGGTCAAAAACGCTAATCCAGTTTTTTGTCAGGTGTGGCTTGGAGGCGACAACAAATTTGTAAAAGACAGCAGCCATACTCGCCACGAAAACGACTACAACAGCCACAGAATCTCAAGACGTTATCACCACAAGAGGCGTCATAATGCCATCCAGGAAGTTACATTCACGAAAGCGTACGTCGATCGCACGGGCCGAAACCACAGCGTAATGGCCTTCGACACTCTTGAAAACAGAACAACCGACTCTAAAAAATACAAAATCGTTACCTACAGCCAAAATTTATTTTCTTGTAGAATCGATTCCTCGGTTAAATCGAAACCGATATTCGTTTCTTTGACGTTCGGTAAATATAGCAGCTCTTCTATGCTACTGCCTGTACTTGATATAAGAAATGAAAGTGGAAAAAATGAGGGTGAGTTTTGTGATGATGCTGGCTGCCTGGAAGATGGTGACAGCGCGGTGGAAGTATCTGTAGGAAAGGATGTTCCTATTTTGGAGGTTGAGGGTGATGAAAACGTTACGAATAAATCAAGAAAGAAATTTGAAACTGAAGCCGACATTAAAAACTCACCCGATAAACAGATTTTAAATTCTAAAAGCCAGAGTAGTAAGGAGACATCTTTCAAGTACGAGTTTGTCATCTGCGTAACACAGGTTATTATTATTTTCTTCTAAATATTCCAAATAATAAATCTGATAAAATTGTTATGATGAAGTTTTTTTTGTTTTTAAACATATGCATGTTATTCTGGTTGGAAATTATTAGTTAATTTTCGTAAACTTAGAATCCATTTTAATACTAACAATTGAAGAAAACGCTTTTAGCGCAAAATCATCTTCCGATTAATGACTCCGTGTCATTTAAGAATTTTCGATATATTTTCATCCGCAGATTTTTGATATTTGAATACACGTCATTAATTCCATTCAAAAATGGCAAAATCCTTCATTAAAAGAATTTAATGTTCTTTTTTAAACCACCCAGTTTTATAAAAACTAATTTTCAAGGCCTACGGACGAATGGACGCCAAGGAATTCATAGAGTGGATGGAATTAAACCACCTGCTCGGAATCCAACACGTCACCATCTACAACGGATCCTTACTCCCAGACAGTAGTCTCCACTCAGCATTCCATCACTACCAGACGTCTGGCCTCCTGTCTGTCTACAACATCCCGCCGGCCGTCCCAAACTGGAAAGCCATCCAACGGGCTAATATATCCGGCTGGCTGGGTCTGGAGGCCACAAAACTGAGCAGCCCCGCCTCTCTGAACGACTGCATGTGGAGGTACATGTGGCTCGCCAGATGGGTCCTAGTTATCGACTTCGATGAAGTTATCGTGCCGCTTGGTCGTGTTGCTAACTACCAGGAGCTGTTTAGGAGGATTAACGCCTCCAGCGACGGAAAAAATAAGGCCCTCAACTCATCACACCACACCATTCTTTTCCATATGACTTATTTTTTCAGGTTTTTTTTCAAATTTGAAGGGTTTTTTGTTGAAAATTTTTTTAAACTTTTATTTATTTTTTTACTAAATTTATTATATGACAAGAGATTTTAAATTATTTGATTAAAAACAACCTAAAACCATTAGATCGTGGTCAAATTTTACAAACTCCAGTTACTTCAGCAGCAAAGTTGAAACAACATCAGCGACATATTTTTTGTCAAATGAAAGCAGTTTAACTGCATCAAAAACCAACAAAACATCTATAAAAACAGACAAAAATGGAAAAATTATCAACAAACCAATCTTCAAAACATCACCAGAGAAATCAAATCCAACAACTTTTCCAACACCAACAACAGCAACAGCGCCAACCAACAACTCAGAAAACAACAACGAAGACTCATTTTTTTACCCATTCCAGTATCGATTATTTACCGACCGGTTTAAATACCGAACCGACGCTCAACCACTCGGTATGGCTCCGAAATCATTCATCGATCCTCGACAATGCCTCTCGGTGTTCAACCACTACTGTTACATTCTGCTACCGGGTGTCAAATCTCGAAAGTTAGTTGTCGATCCGAATATCGCGATGGTACATCACTACCGTAACAAGTGTCCAATGTCTGTGATCAAGTGTCAGGAGCTGTACCACCAAAAAGTTCTTGACGAAAGTGTGACAAAATTGGTGAGGAGATTAAAAGAGAGAGTGAAGATAGCTATAGAGAGTGTTAGCCGTCTTTTGACGTAGGTGGTTAAGTAAAGATTGACTTGCCAAATTTCATTTTTTTTAATTAATTTAATTTCAATGAGATTTAATAAACTCTACAATATTTTATGATAAAAATTAATAATAATTAATATGTACTTATTTAGTTATAATTAATATATATTTATTTAGTTATAATTAATATATATTTATTATCACAAATATAAAAATTATAGTTAGATTAGATTATTTGTTACGGAATAATTAATTTCAGTGTGATAAAACACGTGCAATTTACAATATTGATATATGAAACACACACACACGCACACACACACACACACAAACACACACATTGAAACAGAAACAAACAGAAATACACACACAGAAACACACGCACGCACGCACACAACTGTAGTCTTACTGGTTTCTGTATTTACAATTGTTTTTATGTTGGGATATTGACAGAGGTTTCAACATTCATTTTCATCGCTATAATTGATGGCTTAAACGTTTAAGGCACTTCTTATCGCAACCAACATACATCTTTAGTGCATTTCAAAACGAACAATCATAATTTAAAAAACTATCAAACAATTTTCACCCATATATCTCTGTTATATATCAATATATCTTCACATATCTTACTAGATATCCGCGTCTTTGCCTATTGTATCATTCAAAACTTACATCTACCCTGATATTTTATATCTATTTCGTACTTCGTTCATGAGCAAACACACTATCGAATCTCTTTTTAACCATCTCCTTCAGCTCCATCGTAAACCTACCGACTTTTTCATCCGGTACTTTATTTAAAGTCATATTTTTACAACTCTCACCGAACGGACATTCGGATCGGTAGTGATGCACCGCTCCGATATTCGAGTCTACGTCATTACTCGATTGCTCCTCCCATGGGAGTGGTATGAAGCAGTAGTGGTTAAACACGGATAGACATTTCCGTGGGTCTATGAAGGACTTCGGGGCCATTGAATAGTCCTGAATGGTCGTTCGGTATTTGTATCGGTCCGTGAATAGTCGGTATCGAGTCGGAAGGAAGAAAGGGTCATCGGTTATGTCGGCAACATTATTATTGTTATTATTATTATTATTAATCTCGTTGTTGTCGTCATAGATGTTACTGTTATTTTCAATGTTCCTAATTTTAGTGGTTTCGATTTCTAGGCTGAAAAATTTTTGAACGTGTGATCCAGTTTCAGTCGTCTTGATTCTGTTGTTTATTATTGTCACATTTGTGTTGTTGTCAATTGTGTTTATGATAATTTTGTATGTGTTGTTGTTGTTGTTGTTGCTGTTGTTGTTGTTAGACTTGTGGACGCTTTTGTTGATGTTGATGATGATGTTGTTGTTGATGATGTTGTTGATGTTGTTGTTGTTGTGCTCGTTTAGAATGTTAAGATTCTTATCAATATAGCTGTTAGCAATATTTTTGTGATGTTTTGCGTTGTTGTTGTTTTTGATGGTGTTGTTGTTCTTGTTAGAGAGGTTGATGGTGTTGTTGTTGTTTGTACTATTTTTTGATGACCATTTCCTGAATTAAATTAAATAAAATTAATATTGGTGCGATTTTGATGAACTGTTTGAATCGTAAATGGTTCAAATTTTAAAGTTTTGTTGATGAAAATTAATAAATTTTAAAATGGTTAATCAAAACAATACTTCATAATAACATAATAACGATAATTAGTTTTAGAAATGAAGCATTATTTCAAATCAAAATGTAGAAAACTTATCTGAGAAAATTTAACGAAACCTGAAAAAATAAGCCATCCGAAACGAGTATGTGTGTCCAAACTTCCAATAGAGCTCCGTTGAACTCTGACCCTTCTTCTTCTTCTTAGCCATCCTCTTCAGTAACTTTTCCATTTCCACTCTTTTTATCTCTTTAAACATATCGCGATAATTGCTGACTGAGGTAGGCACGATAACTTCATCGAAGTCGATAACGAGGACCCATCTGGCGAGCCACATGTACCTCCACATGCAGTCGTTTAGAGAGGCGGGGCTGCTCAGTTTTGTGGCCTCCAGACCCAGCCAGCCGGATATATTAGCCCGTTGGATGGCTTTCCAGTTTGGGACGGCCGGCGGGATATTGTAGACAGACAGGAGGCCAGACGTCTGGTAGTGATGGAATGCTGAGTGGAGACTACTGTCTGGGAGTAAGGATCCGTTGTAGATGGTGACGTGTTGGATTCCGAACAGGTGGTTCAACTCCATCCACTCTATGAACTCCTTGGCGTCCATTCGTCCGTAGGCCTAGGTTTCAGTGGTTCGCAATTTTTTTTATTTTAAATGTTTCTTGTTATTGTAATTAATTTGTGATAAAATTTGTTAAAATAACTGTTCATATCAGAGTATTACTTTTGTTTGACTATAAACAAGTTTATTAACTGTTTCACGCATTAAATTAGTTGTCAACAGTTCTGATGGCCTAGAAATTTATTTGAACCCACATTTTAATATTTACAATTATATATATAAATGGCTGTGACAGATGTGGATGGCGTCGAGGGGTATTTCGGTTTCATCATAGGTAGCCAAACGGCAACCCCGGATCTCGGGGAAAATGTTGTCTAAACGTGTGTTGTTGTATATATAAATGGCTGGAGGGAGGCCACGATTGATGCAATATTTGATAAAATCTACCGAATTGTTAGCTTTTGAAAGATACGGTTGAGGTTTTCAACATTTTTAAGAGTGATTTTGTAATTTTTATCTAATTTATTAAAATTATTAAAAAAATCGTTGGTGTTCATGGTGCTGTTTTGTTCCTATTTCAATTTTACTCACCATCAACACTGGTTAGATGTTACACAAATACTAACTCTTTCATGAACATGTCGACAAAATTTTTTTTATTTTTTATTAGTAAAATTTAAATTTGTTAAGTAGAGAATTCTGAAAATTTTTCAGATACGAAATCTATCGCCTACCTGTGTGACGCAAATCACAAATTCGTATTTGAACTTTCTGTCGTTATTGTCGTCGTTGTGGTTGTTGTGGCTCTTGCTGCTGGTGTTGTTGTAGTTGTTGATGTTTTTACTGATATTATTGACATTGTTATGGATATCCTGTTTATTGTTTTTTTTGCCGACGTTGTATATATTACTAAGGTTGAATGTTTTGTTGTAGTTGTTGCTGTTGTTGTAGTTGTTGCTGTTGTTGTAGTTGTTGCTGTTGTTGTAGTTGTTGCTGTTGTTGTAGTTGTTGATGTTGTTGTAGTTGTTGATGCTGTTGTAGTTGTTGCTGTTGTTGTAGTTGTTGTAGTTGTTGCTGTTCTTGTTGGTGTTGCTGTTCTTGTTGTTATTGTAATTAGTGTTAAGATTATTGTTGTTAAAAAACTTCGACTTCATTGAATCATCTCCATCGTCATCAAATATAATTGCAGAGTGGTTTTTAGACTTCTTCCGTTTGAATTTCATTTCACCATCATCATCGTCGTCATCATCATTTTGATCATCATCACCATTTTGATCTCTGTTATCTATACCACCACCACCACCATCATCTTCGTCGTCGTCGTCACCAAAATTATCAACGCTGACGTCATTATTATCATCACCCTGACGAACATTCCTAACCGGGAGCAACATAGTCGTGACGTCATATTTACCGAAAGTTAGCGAGACGAACTTTGGTATCGGATCATTCGAATCGGAATTCTTGCCGATTCTACAAGAAAATAAATGCTGACTGTATAGGATGTATTGGGTTCGGAGCTCATTGAGTAGCTTACTGATATGGGATTGTTTGTTATTGTTACTGTTGTTATTTTTGTTGTTGTTGTTGTGGCTGGTGTTATTGTGTATGACGTAGTTGATGCCTATATTGTTGTTGTTTTTAGCTGGCATGATGTTCTTTCCTTCGTTAACTTTGCTGTTCATAATTTTATTCACTGAATTGTTGTTTCTGTTATTGTTGTTGTTGTTGATGATGTAGTAGTTGTTGTTGTTGATGTTGTTGTTGTTGATGTTGTAGTAGTTGTTGTTGTTGTTGTTGTTAATGTCTTCTTTATAATTCTTGATGTAATGCATTCTGCCCGTGTCATGGGTGACGGCTTGCACGATTTTCACCTTCCATTTCACGGATCTTTCTGAATTATTATCATCCACGTTGTTGCGAGTGTTTTTGTTGTCGATGTTGGTTATGACGTAACTGTTGATGTCATATCTTCTGCTAATGTCACTGTAGTTGATGTTGTCGTTGTTCTGACTATTTTGAATTTGTTTTTCTGTGTTATTTTCTAATTTTTCAATCTGTCCCTTGATAGCATTATCGTCATCGTCATTCTTCATTCTTTCATTCGCATTCTCTTCCTTCTCTCTATC